ATCGAGAGGAGGATGCGGCAGGGGTTGCGAGGTCGGGCGACAGGGGAAAGGGAGGTGGCGGGGGCAAAGGGACGAAATCGACGACGAGGGGGAGATGGACGATATCAGCGGCCTGGGTCTCGAGAGGAAGAAGTTGAGAGAGGGAGGGAGCTGTTGGGTGGCGAGTTTGGGAGAAAATGAGGGTTGGGTTGGCCGACTAGGGTTTGGAGGTGGGTTTGGGAGTTTAAAAAAAAAGAGAATTTTTTTGCTTTAGGTGGGATTCGAATTGAGGGTTGTTTTAATGAAAACAAACGGGAATCCCGTGTAAAACATGTACAAGAATCAAATCCAAAGCAATAAATTGTTGTTTCTCAAATTTGGGCCCTGTTGTGCAAATCTGATTCACAACAAAAATAGAAACCCAACTAAACATGGTTTTTTTCTTGGTTTCTCCAATATTGAAAAACACAACAGAAAACAAAAACAGGCAACAATACTTCCATGCACAAGTTGTTGTCTTGTTGACATAAGGATTGTGTTTTGGTCGGGGTGATATACGGTTAGCGGTTCGGTTAAATTGTTAAACTAACAAGTAATTGATGGTCAACGAGTATGTCAATAATCGATTATAAGTTAACGTTGCGATTATCTATGTTTCTCTCTCAAAACGACATCATCCCTCTCAAACGAACTCTCGAACTCCGGACAAGCAATCTCTTCCCGCCACGATCCTCTTTGTCTCTCCCTCATTTCCTCACACTATGAACCATAAAATTGAAAGAGACATAGAGTAGTGTCAACTTTGAAATTAAAATGTAGGATCAATGTTGAATTGGGAAGATTAGAAGGCTTATGTTGGAGAAAAGATTCCAAAGATTGCATCTCAATTTCTTCCATCAATAACTTCTGTCATCGAGTTCACACTTATCACTCTTCTCCTTTCTCTCTTCACTTTGTTCTCTCGTCCCAAGAGGAACAAGAAGCCAAGCTCAAATCACTAGTCCTACAACTCTTCAAAGATCACACTGCCAACCAAATCCGAACCCACCTCCACATTGGAACTCCTTCGGCCACTAGATACTTCATCATCCTCCCCACCAGCCAAATCCCCCTAGCGCGACTCTTAACACCCAAGAAGGAGGACAGGTTAGTAATCACCGTAGTTAGTAAGGGCAAACTAGGTATAATAAGAAAATTTATTACAAAATTTGTTTGTCACAATTATGTGATGTCAAAATATAATAACCCACAATAAGTTTGTCACAATTAAGTAGTGTAATATGACGAACAATTTCTGTCAAAATAAAACAAATTATGACAAAATTAATGATAAAAATATGTCGTCATAGCATCTCTATTTGTCACAATAGACTACCCAGAACCTCAGCCATACTGAATGTAAATGTGACAACCTTGTTTTAAACTTTTGTCACATTTGACCTATCCTAACGGGGATAAAATGACAAACCTTTGAAACAACACTTTTTGTCATATTATACCAAATATGACAAAATGAGTATCTAATCTAATAAAAGTATAACATGACAAAATGAGTATCTAATATAACAAATATGACAAAATGAGTATCTAATATAACAAAATTGCCTCGTTATAATAGGCCGAATTTGTTGTAGTGTAGATTTGGTCGTTAATACTCAGGTCTATAATCGTCTTCACAAGAGATGGATCTAAGGGGTCGTTTGGGTTTGGTGATTGTTTGATGGGGATAGTTACAATGCATGTATTGTCCACAATACATTATTTTTTAAAATTTTCTGCACAAACAATACATGTATTGTTTGCTTGATTTAACACAAACTATCACTCAAAATGAGTGATAGTTAAATCTCAAGTTTTTGATGAGATTGTTTGATGGAGATTCTTGGGTTATTTTTTCTTCCAACTATGTCCCTATCTTTTTATATGTGTTACTTTTTAATATTAAAAACAAAGGGTAAAAGTAACTTTTCACCCAAAAAATAATAGAACTTGTTTAAATACTACAATAACTATCACAGAAACCAAACGATGTAAACTACAATACACCAATTTGTTATATACATGTAAAATACATGCATTGATAACAATACATCAATTTAACTATTACCGAAACCAAACCACCCCTGAATTCTTTACCTCATATAGTCATATGTCACCGCTAGCTTTGTTTGGGGTATGGGATAATGGGATTGGGCTGACCACTTATTGTGGGCAAAATCTATAAAGAAATTGGACTGAAAGCCCATTTGATTTGGCCTAGGATACCAAATACCGTGAACGAACGAGATTACTATTATTTTTCTTCTACACCTGAACCGCCAAACCAGCTGGCCGGGAAGGCGGGGAACAACCAGAAACCAAACGCAACGAGTAAGAGACAGCGGGAGATTCCCTCCGGCGGGCGTTGTGGGGAAAAAACGAGGATCGTCGGTGAAGAAGTTCCGGAGACTTCATCGGTCCTGATTTCCCTGACTTTCATTTGTTCCTTCTACCCATCTCTGTAAGTGGATCGCCTTCATTTCTCTCCTTTTTCTCGTTAACCCTAACAAAGAAAATCTACATTCCCGCCAACTTCGTCTTCCTCTTTCTCCTCGTCTAGGGCGTTGCTTGCTTAACTCTACTGGTAGCCCCCCGGTAGCTTGCTGAAGCTCGTCCCGTTGTTGTTTTCCATAATCGTTCTCCGATTCCGTTTCCGACGAATTATGGTCGACAATGTCTTTGCTGGGTGCTTATTTCCACTCTCTTGCCTGAGAAAATTCTGCTGCTTTTGCGTTTTACTTGGTCGGCGGAATGGCCTTGAAACGAGGAAAGGAGAGTGAATGATGACGCAGAATTAAGGGAAAAAGGGGAAGTGAAGGAAAAATGCGCTGCTTCAAATTTCCTCTTTTTGGAGTCTGTGATTGCCTTGGGGTTGATCCTTGCATGAGTAAGGCGAGGGCATTGTAGTTTGTGGAAACTTGCATTAGATTGCAGTTCACACATGGTGGTGTCTGGCAATGCCTTATTGGATCAGATTGTTTTCTTTATGCTCATTTTCCTGCATCACTGGTTCACATAGGCATCAGGACGTAGAATAGCTGCATTATCCTGTTTTAGGAATGTCTGTTAGATAGCATCCAAATGCTAGCTACACTTGTTTGCATTGGAAAGAGATGAACAAAGCTGCAATTACGTAGTGAGAGGAACGGTCGCTGTAAGAATGACTGTTTTTTTGTTGTTAATTTGTGGCAAACTGCATCGGATGGAACCTAAGTGACCCATAATACAGGTATATTGGCTTGATCAGATAAGCTAATAGAATGTGTGGTTTGCTGTAAACTAAAAACTCCAGCAGTTTTAGTAGGCCAAAGTATTATGTCGTGCATTTGGCCTGCAATTCCTGTTTAGCTAAAGATCTTTCAGGACCCTTAATCAGAACCTAGTGCTTTTTTATTTTAATGATGAGATTGAGTGCTGCTCTTTCTGTTTCATCATTGGAATTTGGAAGATCACATATCAATTACTTTTTTATTTTAACTTGTCTCTGTTGCAGTCAGTCGTAAACAAGCAGTGAAGGGACTTCGATAGGATTACTGGTCCCATGTCAAAGAGAAAACATAGGCCTCGGCATCCTGATGATTTGGTGGGCTATCAAGATGGCCATCAGCATGAACGGAACAACAGATTGAGGCCCGTGCAGCAGCTTGATCCTGCTGCTTTGGAAGAAGAGCTCGATATTCTAGGTAGAGAGATGAGGAGGATAATCTCTGAGAATCAAGCCATTATCGATGATAATATTGCTCTTCAGAGTGAAGTGACGCGAACAAGCGATAAGATTCGCAGATTGGAGGAAAGGATACCTCAACTCCAGGCTGAAAAGGAGACGGATATCAGGGAGTTAATTCAGACAGGATTGAAGCTAGAAGCAGAGGTGCGGTCAAGGGAGCCCTTAAAGTCAGAGGTTAGGAAGTTAAGAGTAGAAGTTGAAAACTTGAGGGATTCAGTAGAGGACTATACTGCTATTGTGGACAGTTTACAAGAAGAGATTACAGAAGTAAAGTTGGAGAACGAGGAACTGCATTCACTGAAAGCTGCTGTAGATATGATGCACAAACAGCTTCTTGATGCCAGGTTTGGAGTTTTGCATTGCAATTTGTTCAGCAATTCGTGTAGTCAGAGATGTAATTCTGCTATATATCCAGTATTTTGATTTCTGTACACTCTTTATTAGGAATACACTTGAGTACGAGAAGAGAGCGAAGCATGATCAAGTTCAAGAAATGCAGCTAATTGAGAATAATCTCACATGCATGCATCATGAAATCGAGAAGCTAAGGCTTGAGCAGCAGCAGTATGCAGGAATAGAGGAACCTAGATATGGTAGTGTACCAAACTGTTTTGTCTCCCAATTACCTGCTTTAGGATCTACTTATTATTAATCCTGTGCGTTTTGATTTCTCTAACCGATCTTTCCCATTTGTGTGATAGATGGTGGAGGCTATCAAAGTATGGATCGAAGCTCTGAAACAAGACGCGATGGCAGATATGGTGATAGCTATGAAGATGATCCTTGGGAATTTCACAACCATGGCCATCCCCAGCATTGACCCCCTTATAGGCTAATGGTTCGTTGACTTGCCACTATTCTGATTTCTTAACACTCCAAGGCTCAAAAGCAATGTTGTAGTTAGTTTGGCCTAGAAGAATCGCTAAATTGCACCAGTTCACTACATACAATCGTTGCTGCAAAGCTAGTACACAAATTCACATGGCGAAAACCATTTTGTGGTTGGCCTCGGATGTATGCGCCTAGTGCCAGATTCCTGCTATTAAGGTGGAAAAAAGCCTTTTGTGATAGTGGTAAAAGAGGGTTAAGTTTGAGCATCTTATAAGAGTCAAGAAAATATTGAGAACCGCATTGCATATTCTTGCTACTGAGATCAGATTTCAGAGCCAAAATCTGTGGTTATAAATCAAGGTTACAGCCGGTAAATGCTCATTAGTAAAAGCTTACATTGTGAGGTATATGGCTTAACTATTTGAATGGAATATTATGCTGTCTGAAGTAACGGTTATATCATATATGGCAAGAGCTGTGATGTTGTTGCTGGTGGTCAGGAGGATCTTCCTTTCAGGGCCTTTGAAATGGCCGTAACGGTTACAGGCGTAGTCCGGCAACAGCCGCCGATAAGGCTGGCTCCTAACTTGTGCCATCTTCTAGCACACAGTTCGAATTTGTCGTCTCCAAAGCATTCTGATGGCTGTGTGTTAATGCAAAAGCTCGAGGTTATCACTGTTTCACGTAAACAATGGAACTGGAAGCTATAACCGTAATGAAATGCATACCATCCATCTTTTAGATTTGCCATCCCATACTTCACCACTGTTCGGGTAAACCACTATCAACTTGTGTGTCCACTGCAGATCAAAACCAAATATCTAAGTAATTTATACCGAAGAAACAGGCACGAGCAGATCGAGTTCGTATCGTCTTTTTACCTCCTGAAATTTCGAGATGAGGTTTTCGACGAACTGTGGGGGTGCGCAATTGATGCCAACTGCAGGCACTCTGCTACTCTTGTTTATCACGTCAAGGCAATCCTTTAAACTCTCTCCCGAAGGTGCATTCTGGCCGTCCACCGAGCTGAAGCAAATCCAGGATGGAATGGTGATTTCTTCCTCTTCAAGCAACTCCACACAAGCCTGCAAAAATTCCAGGATTTATATGCTTATATTAAGTTCCTGCCCTGCGAAATTATTTCTCCTTCTCTGTCTTCAAGAAGCAAGCTTCAATACAAGGCCAGTTTCTTGATGCTTATCAGGTCAAATTGGTAGATGAACTAACCTGAGCTTCAAGCTTATTGGGGATGGTCTCAAAAGCCAACAAATCGGGCCCTGACTCCGCGAGAACTTGCAGCCTGCGCCTATGAAAAGCTTTGAGCTTTTCCAGGGCCACATCTTCTCCATACCAACCACTGCAAAACACCAGAAGGAGAACAATAAGAGAAAGCTCCCAAGTTTTAGCTATAATAATAAGATAAAGACAAATCCCCCACCTGTACTCTGAGCCATCAGCGAGATAAGCTCCATAGCTCCCAATGGAGGCTGCAACCAGAGCCCTGTTATATTCATTTCCAGGACGGCCCTTCACAGTGTCCCAGAACTCGTCACGAGCTTCCACAGCCAATCTGACACTCCTATTCAGCAACGACTCTGCTTCCTCGATGGATATCCCCCTCGACAGAAACCCAGGAAGGGTCGCCTATCAAAGAACAAGAGAACCAACCCAGTTTTGAGATTCTGAAAAAAAAAAAAAAAACATCTACATTGTATTGAACTTGACTGGAAATGAACAAGCAGAAACCTGGTAAGAAGAAGTGACTATAATGTCGGCGCCGGCCTCCAAATACTCCAAATGCACCTGCAGCAGAGAAAGAAGAACAGAGTTTCAAGCAAGAAGGTGAGGAATTTGAGAGAATCCCAGAAGAGAAACCTGAGGAAACGAACGGACCTTTTTGATGAGAGCGGGGTTTTTGATCAAGCAGAGTGCGCTCCAGAGAGGGTCGTTGATGGCAGCGCCGTGTGTCTCGAGCTGGGTGGCGAACCCGCCGTCTATCACCGCGCAGCCACCGGCATTGTCCAGCAGATCTTCCAGCAATGTGGACGGCGGTGGCACCACCTTCTTGAGTCCCATTTCCCCGCCTGAGATTGCGCAGAAAAGAACTAACTACAGGGAAGGAGGAAAAGGAGGCGAGGAATGAGGGAAAGAAACGCGTATTGAGAGGTAGGGCGGGAGAGGTTTATATATATGCTTCGGCTAAATTACACGTTTGGTCACTCAAATTATTCAAATCTTTCACGTTTGCCACCCGAATTACTTTTCTTTCTTATTCGCCACCAACTTTATAATTCGTTATACATGTGAAAAAATAATATTATAATAGATCTAAATTAAACCCAAATTAAATGATTGGGTATGAATATAAGCTGATATCACCCAAATTTCATTTAACTCATAATGAATTGAGTTTGAGGAATACTCGAATTGTGGGCATTTTTCACCATCTCTAAAATCTAAATAAATTGAAGGACCGTATCCTAGACTTCCAAATTGTAATTGAAGATACAACGAGATTGTGTATCAAGAACGAGAAATGTTGTAATTATTATGAATTTATCCTCCTTGCTGGATCATTTCATTTGGGTTTGAATTCATTGAGCCCTGCTTGACATAAAAGTGAATTGACATGGAATGTGTGTTGTTCTCCCAATGTTTCATACTAATAAATATTTTAGATTGTATAATATTATTAACGCACTCGAGATTATATATGTAAACTTTTAAGTACACTCAAGTACATTGAAAACACTAATAACAAATAATACGTTCATTGAATTCAATTACATGCTATTACAAAAACTTACTCTATGAATTACTCTATTTGTATGTTGAGTTTTGCTTGACCGGCAATGTTGCAAACATTCAAAGCTATCGGCTGGCGAAGTGGAAGCTTTAACGTAAGTTGTTTGTTGCTTACTTGCTTACCAAACACCTTTTTTCTAATGTAATTTTTCTTTACAATTGACAAACATTGAGATCCAAGACTACAAAACGGTAGCCTAATATGATAATCGAACTTGTAGGTGACGCGTGTGACGCGTATGTGGCGGTCCCAAGGACAGTGAACCCTTCGGTCGGGCCGCGGAGGAGTGATCGGGCGCGCCGACCCAATCCCAAATATGCGGTCGAGTAGGAGTTGGACTTGTTCTATTACTTTGTTTACTTTGTTTCTTTGGTTTCCTTAGTTATGTTGGATTAGGTTTCGTTTACTTCCTTTTCAAGTTATTGTATGAACTCTATATAAGTTTGTTCTCGTAATAAGATCGGCGGAAGAAGAAAACCCCTAAAACCTTGTGTTATTTACTTTTATCGCTAGTTTGCGCCGATGCTTGGTTCGCCAATGCATCAGTAGGTTATAGAGATTCGAATACCCAATGAACAAAATATCAAGAATTACCAAAGAACATATAATGATACATCACTGATGTATTCTTCAAATATGAAAGGTAGAAAATTATTACAATGTAGAATTTTATTGTTTCTTCGAAATCATAGGTCAAATCTAACAAAAATTCGCAATGACCCGAGCTAAATAATGGTGACGAATAAATCATATAATATAAAGTCAAGCTCGTCAATATTTGAAGAAGTCGAAACTACTGGTGGTAGGTAATTAACAAGTAACAAGTAGAAAATAGGACGTGGTTACTTACTCTTTGAAATGAAGGAGAAACACCGAAAGCAAACAAACAACGTCTTTGGAGATCCACCTTTGAATTGAATTGCAAGTGGGAACTTCGAAGCCAAGTGATGGATTTTGGTTGCTGTATTTTTTTGCAAGAAAAACAAAGAGCAAGAATATGAACATGGAAGAAGAAGTCATAGAAATATAGGATTATATATAGGAGCCCTTCTTGGGGGGTTGTTGTCAATAAATCTGCTTGTTATGAAAGTAACATTCAATTTGAGTTGAAAATTGTACTTTAACTCTTATGCTGGCTAGGTTCAGTACTACTAAAAAAATGACCAGATTCATACTTAGTCTTACCCACTTTTTCTATTAGATAAACTTATAAATTATGTACCATTTATCTCAAACTAATTACAAGCTATTTATTTCGTACATTCATATGCAAAGCGTATTTGTCAATAATGAAAATGTTATTTGGTTTGAATGAATAAAATGTGTTGTCAGAAAATTGGAAAATGTCACGTAGAATACAAAGACATGTTTACATGTACTTCCTACTCTTTATGTATATGAACAACAAACTTGAATGATCTACATGCATTTGATACTTTAGTTACAGTATTAATTGTTATTATGATAAATATTATTTTTTAGTCAAACCTTTTGATGAATTTTAAAATACTAGCCAATTTTTTGAAAATAAGAAATATTAGCAAAATCTTTTATAACGCTACAAAGCTATAGTCATTTTCTGTGAAAGTTAACGTTATCCTTAACAAAATTACATGTAAACCAATTGTTAGTCCACGTGTTTGACACATCAGCGTTATTTGAGTAAAAAAAATTATAGGATAATTATGTTTTTTAGCCAAACCTTTCACAAGGATGGAAGATCTTCTGATTTTGAAATCGTCGTCGCCAATTAGGGCTGCAAATGAGCCGAACCGAGTCGAGTTTTACCCCAGCTTGAGCTCGGCTTGTTAATAAACGAGTCGAGTTCGAGCTCAGCTCGTTTATTAACGAGCCGAGTCGAGCTCGAGCTAGCTTGTTTACTAAAATCTTAACTTTTATTTGGTACTTCATTTTGTATATCATTATACACATGATTTATTTTGTTAGCTAATATCATATTATACTTTGTTGGTATCATATATCATTTAGTTAATAAATTTTAACTATTCCAAATCATGTTATTTCATAGTAACGAAGCAATTTATGATACATAATTTTTTTAAGTAACAAATAAGATATATTTTCTCACATACTCAACGTTTTAAACTTTATATATAGTGAGATATATAATTTAACAACCATATGAATTAAAAACATAAGATATAGATTGATTCGTCCATAAGTCGGTAATCGAGTTGGCTCTCTAGCCACATGTTGAGACATATCATGAGTTCTAAACGAGCCAGCTCACGAGTTTAGCTCAACAAGCCACCGAGTCGAGCTAGCTCGCGAGCTTCACGAGCTGAAGAAAGCTTAGCTCATGTTCGCCTCGTTTATTAACGAGCCGATTTTCGAACGAGCTTTTCTCGAATCGAACACCGAGCCGCTCGCGAACAGCTCGACTCATTTGCAGCCCTAGTCGCCATCACCGAAGCCAACATTGGGCGAGTGCAGGTGTCATGAACCAGTTGCTCCCAATAACTCGAGTTGTTGGGAGAAGGTTATGTTGGATCTTAAATCACTCTCTAACACGCCACCTCAAACGAAAGCCAACCCATGGGCTTGATGTTTGCACAGGTCCGCCATACCATGTGCTTGAAGACAACGGTTAATATTGGGGATCGTGGAAATTCAAACACACGACCACTTGGCCAAACCAGCTCTGATACCATGTCATGAACCAGTTGCTCCCAATAACTCGAGTTGTTGGGAGAAGGTTATGCTGAATCTTATACCACTCTCTAACACAGGGCTCGATTGATGTTGGAGAGAAGACGGAGGCAACCACTGTTGATGCAAATGGTGGTTAGGTTTGGACTTGCATGGAGAGAAGACGGAGGCAGCGACTGTGGTTGTGGACAAGGCAAGAGATGCCAATTGGCGCATGAAGGAAAAACACCGACTGGTTAGATTTCGTATACTCAAAATTTTGGTTAATATTTCAGAATCCATGAAAAGTTTAGCTAAGAATAGTATTTACTTGTGTTATTAATATTATATATCCTAACATACCATTTGGTATAAATGAATTTCATAAGTTTTGCGGAATTCATTTTGAAATGAAACATTTTTGCGTTTGGTATTTAAAAGAATTCATTTTCAATTCTAAATTTTGAATTCTATAGAATTGGCCCTACAAGAAAACTTGGCTATATAGTCAAAGGTTATTTGCGTCTAAAAGTCAGTTATTTGATTCTATATATATTTTGAAGCAAATAAATTATTTGCATCGGAGGCCTCCCTCTCTAATTCTCTTTAGAAGCAAATATAGATGCAAATAATATCTGCTTCTAATTATAAATTCTGAATCAAATCTTATTGATTCTAATTCCACTTTAAAGAATGTATATATTCTCTTCTTTTTTGGTTTTAGAGAGAAAAATGTTTGTTCCCATTTCTAGTTAGGGAGACAATTATAATTGTTTCTAGAACACCTTACCGAAATAAATATTTGCTTCGTGAGCAAATACTTTAGCTACTATTTCAACTTTCATAATTTTGATTAATTTTAAATTCTACCTACGATTACCCAAATAAAATAACAATTTAAATTTTTTATTAATAATTTTTAATACATTTATTCTTAAAATACATGAATACATTGCCATAATACATAAAGAATACATTGTGCTAACCCAAAAAAAAAAGAATACATTATGCTAAATCATCTACTGATCTACCCTACGCTGTGACTCGCTACAACTAATCACTAACATACCAAAACCCAACCTCGTCAAGCGCTGTTCTCCTCCTTTTTTTCCTTGACCAAATCATTAAACAACCACAAATAGAACAGATTCAATTGATGCCTCTGTGATGCCGCTGCTGCTTCTTCGCCCTCAAGATTGCAAAAGCTTGCCCCATCCAGCCCCCAAACAAACAGATTGGAATAAATGGAGGGGTGTGTGGTTACTTCCCATCAAAGAAAGGTTTACGTCAAGGGAATCCTTTGTCCCCATTTCTATTCTCAATAGCAATGGAAGTACTGTCCTGTATATTGAATAAGGGAGCTGAATCTGGTGAATTCCCTTATCATCCTAGATGTAAAAGACTGGGTATTACTCACTTAGTGTTTGCAGATGACCTGCTACTGTTTTCTAATGGTACTACAAAAGCTGTGGAGAGTGTAAAAGGCTTACTGGACAGATTCTATAGACTTTCAGGGCTGAGGTTTAATCCAGAAAAAAGTCAACTTTTCTGTGCAGGGATTGAAGAGGTGGAACATGAGAGATTAGCTCAGATGGTTGGTTTTCAGAAAGCAGTGCTACCTGTTCGTTACCTAGGTGTGCCTCTAATAGCAGGGAAATTAACTACAAGTGATTGTCGAGCCTTAGTAGAGAAGATCACTAAAAAAATAGCTGGTTGGAAGCCTAGACTGCTTAGCTATGCTGGTAAGCTTCAACTTATTAATTCAGTGCTGAGTAGCCTTTCATTTTACTGGATGAATGTGTTCATTTTACCCCTATCCATCATAAAAGAGATAGAACATTAGTAACTTCCTATGGGGGATAACTGAAGATTCCATGAGGAAGAAAGCTGTAATGGCTTGGGGGCTACTGGCAATTCCAAAAAAAGAAGGGGGATTGGGCATTAGGTGCCTAAAAACATGGAATGTGGCTTGTACAAAAAGGCATATCTGGGCTCTGCTAGCAAAAGAAGGGTCATGGTGGGTTGCATGGAACTACTTATATCGAATTAAAAATCTTACCTTCTGGGAATTGGGAAAATGCAGTACTGCCTCCTGGGTTTGGAAGAGACTATTAAAGGTAAGAGATAAGGTAGAAGGATTCTTCCGTTGCTGGGGAACACAGGTGTATTGGAATGATAAAAAGTTGCTGCATTATTCAGTGAAGCAGGTTTGGGCAGATTTGCAGCCGGATAGGCCTCAAGTGGCTTGGTATCAGTTGGTTTGGGAAAAGTACTCGATTCCAATACATAGTTTTCTATGTTGGGTTATAACAAGAAACAGGATTACAACTCTTATGCAATTGCAGAGCTGGGGGAAGATAGCAAGTGCAAACTGCTTGTTTTGCTTGACTCATCCAGAGGACAGGGATCACTTATATTTTCACTGCCAATATACTTCACAGGTGCTGCAAGGCTGCTTGCAAATGCTGAATTTGAGTTGTCCTCAGCTAACTGGTTATGATAATTACTTGGATTGGGCAGCTAGAAAATTCAAGGGGAAGAAGGCAATGGCTATGGTAGGTCGATTGGTTTGGAACTTATTGGTGAGTTTGATTTGGAGGGAACGCTGTGGAAGATTGTATGGAAGTCCAGCTGTGCAGTCAGGGGAGTTGATAAGGTCAGTACGTAGGACAGTTGAGCTGGCTAGACATGGCAATGCAGCTCTGGATGCTGATTGTAGGGTGATTTTTAGTCAGTAACAGAAGTGGTTAGAGCAGTTGCTGGTGTGTGTTGATTAGCTGTGTATATGTAGTAGTATAGTAGCAGTAGTCCCAGTGTTGATGTAAAGATCCAGATGTGTTTCTTCCTCTGTTTTAAGAGGAGACACATAGAGCTTAATAAATTTTTTTGATATTGCCCATAAAAAAAAACCCCAGATCTAAATCTGCAAGGACAACATAATTAACAGTTGAAAACGTCGCCGATATGCACTCAGATCTAGATTTTTCAAGCTCGATCTATAAGCACTCAGGAGGAGATGGCTACATCAGCAGATGAAAATTGCTTCCCATATGTAGATCTAGATCACCGGGGCAAAGAGCTCCTTGAAGGATTGGTGTCGTTACCGCTACCGTCTTCAGGTCCGAATCGAAGAGAAAGCCTAAGAAAGGAGCAGTCTTGTCGCTGATGAACGTCGACGCCATTTCTGATATCTCTCTTGGCGGATCTGAGGGAGTAGGTGACTACCGCGGGAGAGAAAGCTGCGTCGATTGAACGATTAATGATATGCCTCTCCTTCTCCTTCTCCTTCTCAATCTATCGATTCTCTCAGGAATTAAAGGCGAGGAAGAAGAAAACAACGAGAGAGAAGCGGAGGAAGAGTTGTGGCTGATGTTCGTTGTTTGGAGAGAGAGACGACATTACATCAATTAATTGGAGTCCCTAAAGAAAAATAAGTTTAATTGGAGTCCCACTGCAAATTTCCATACCAAGAAACTGAAACGTCTTTCTAGAAAAGTCCAATTAATGGGCTATATTTTCTCTTTTGTTTTTAATGTGTAATAATTATACAGTATTAATATAATTTTTTTAACCGAATAACTTAGTTTAACGTAAGAAATAGATTTTAGTTTTTTTTTTAGTTTATAACTATGTAAACTTAATAAATGATACCTACAAACTAAATTTCATACTACCTCATGTTTCTTCTACTTATCATGTTATATATTGTTTATAAGGTACCGGTTCTCTATCAATTTTATAACGGTCTAATAAACGGTTGGACCACTAAAGTGAGAGCCATTCACATTAATGGGTTAGCTCCGGTTCGATTTTGATAACATTGATAGTTACTATTATGAACATTATTCATAAAAATAAAGTTATTAATTATATATATTAAAAATAATTGAAAAAACTAAATAATCAAGAGAAAAACAAATAAGTTTGGGTAGAAATGGAGAAACTTTGGGCGGCATAAATGATAAGTTTTTTCCCATTATTTTTTTATAATTTTTCCCAATTACTTAAACCTACACAATACAACCAATTCGAATTAGTGTTTTAGGAGCATATAGATTTGCCTCTAAAGACTATTAAATTTGTCTCCATATGATATAACTATAAGTGACATTGTATTTGTCTCTAAAGTTTATTAGATTTGTCTCCATATGACATGATGATAAGAGACATTTGTATTTGTCTCTAAATACTATTAGATTTGCATCTATATGATATATGTATAAGGAGCATTTATATTTGAATCTAAAGACTATTAAATTTGTCTCTAATGACTTAGCTATAAGCAACAATTGTATTTGTCTCTAAAGACTATTAGATTTGTCTATAGAGACAAGTAATTTCACCTACTGAATCAAATAATATATTTGCTCCTAACGTTTAGCTATAGAGACCAATACAACAATTGCCTCTAATTATTTGCCTCTATAGGCCGGTTTTCTTGTAGTGTGGTACTAGTTATAGCAATTTCAAGGAATTGAGATGAAATTTCAAAATTAATTCCACAACTATTTACTAATTATAACAGAATAACATAATTATCCTCTTTATTCACTAAATTACTTATATATATATGACATACCAAACACAAAAATTCATTTAACAATGAATTCTAAATGACAATTCATTATATTTTTAAAAATTCGAATATGACATACCAAACACAAAATTTCATTTGACAATGAATTCTATACGATAATTTATTTTACAATGAAATGAATTCTTGATTCATTTGGTACCAAACGGTACGTAAGTTTCAATAGCCCATGGTATTTATTCATAAAAATAAAGCCCGAGGTACCGTGACTTTCTTTGATTAATGGACCCTGGTGTCCAGGGGATTGTTATTAGTAACTCCTCTTCTCCTCTGGGCCATCACCACTGTAGCCCATGATTCTCTTCTAGAAGCCGGCTTTGCTAGCAACGGAAAGGCCCAAGTTCTTGTGGTCGCGATTGGGCCACATTTTCGACTGTAGAAATAGGGAGCAGACCAGTAGGGTTACGGCAAGTTTGGCAAACCCACAATGAGGAAGACGAGGGTAGCTAGCCAGCCAACAGGTGCGGTCGGCGGTCGCGTCGACGGGGCAAGGTGAAGGCTCAAAGAGGTCTCATCTGTGAAGAGATGACGGAAAAGCATCTGCGGCGACCGGAGACAGCAGGAAAGCCCCGACGAACGACAGCTGCTTCCGAAGGAAAGTAGGGTAAGAGCTCGTTCACTGCCGCTTGCTTCCTTACTTTTAGCCTTGTCCAATCGCATCTCGTACGTTGATCGAGGATGATTCTAGCTCCAAAGGAAGTTTAGATGCATGCTAGGGTTTGTTGTAGGATGATGCCAATGATTGGCAGAAAGCATTCGATGTACGGGAACTAGTGAAATGTAGTGAAACGTAGTGTGTTAACGAGACTAATTGGCTCTTAATTATGTGCTCCAAGAAGCCATTAGTGAAATCTAGTGAGTTAATGGTGTAGTGGGAGAAATAAGCTTGGAATTTGGAATTGAGGAGGAAGCCACTTTAATAACTAAGTTTTAGCTAGCCTATGTGGGACGTGACTATCCCCTAAAGGGGTCTGATTTTTGACACCCATTTTCTTTAACGTTCATCTTCAATAGTCTTAATCTAATGGTAGGAAGTAAACCGTTGATAATTTGTAATTAATTCAGTAATTAATTATCCCAACATACATCAGGAAGGGAAATAATTGGTTCCCACGCATAATTTAAAATTCATTCCCTCTTACCTTTTTTTTATGTCACCGTTTCGTTACCTTCTCTCTCTCTGTTTAGAACCTGGCCGTAACCCTTCGCCGCCGACTCATCTAATCACTATCTCCCATCGTAACCCATCCTCTCCTTAACAACAGCGGCCGGCCCATAACTCCCGTCGGACGTCCTCCGTCTTCCATCCCGAACCCTCAACTTCAAACCTGGTTTGTCTTTTTTTTTCCTGTTGCGCTTGATCGATTCCCTTCGACGGCCGTCTATCTGCGACAGAGCTTATATAATGGCGGCGGCAGGATTTTGCTAAGGTGATGCAATTCTCCTTGAACGACCACAATTCATATATTTATTCGTCTCCTTCAGTACAATATTGCACTACAATTGTAGATATATTGCTGTAGTGGCATACTGTGTTTATTTATTCATGCAGTGGTATATCTATCACTTTAGTTGTAGATCGATCAATGCAGTCGTAGATCTATCATTGCAGTGACATGGTGTGCCTATCGTTGCAGTGGTAGATCTATCGTTGCACTAGTAGATCTATAAGTGCAGTGACATATGGTGTCTTTCGCTGCATTGGTAAATCTTTCACATGAAGTGGTAGATCTATGCTGGAGTGGTAGAAATATCACTACAGTGGTAGTTCGTTGCAATGTATCTGTGTGTAGGGCTATCACTCTAGTGGTATTTACAAAATCATTATGGTTGTTTAAAGTACAACTACATTGGTAGTTATGTTTAGTTCTTAGTATGAACTTATTTTCTAATGAAACCAGGAATGACAAGGACGAAGAGAACGGGTCTTGAGGTGCCAGCAGACAATAAACCTGTAGGCCAGAATCTTGGGGGCCAGAAGGCTGCTGGCAAGAAGCCTGCAACCTATATTTCCAAGCAGGTGGAAGTTTGGTTAAATCAGACTCCTTCCTCTAGTGCCGGTACCATCAAGAAACGACGCCGTGAGAGCAGTGAAAAGGGAGAACAAGGTAGGGGCAAGAGGAAACGTAGTGATGATGTATCCGACAAGAAGTGCAACCCTAACTCGATAATTGAAGTCGTGAATGATGGACTATCAGACGAGAGAAGAGCTATACTGAAGAAGCTGGGTTTGGGTGTTGTTTTTGAGTTGCAAATGAAGAGGTTTGACAAGACCCTTTTGAATTGGTTGGTAAATAAGTTCAATGCGGATACAATGTCCATAATCATGAATGATGGCACTGCAATGCCATTTATAGTTGATGATGTTCATCGAGTGTATGGACTTCCTCGCGGTAAAAAGATGGTGACGACATTTGATTGAGATAGGTGCAAAGAGTTGCATGATGAACTCCCTGGTATGGACGGAGAAGACCCCAATTGGAACAAGCTGTGGACTTTGAAAAAGCTGTTACCAAACATTCAAGACGACAAGTTGTGGATACGTTTGTTTGTCATGTTTTGTTTTGGATACCTGTTCAAACCAAGCACCAAAAATGTTGTTGAATCTTCGGTGTTGGCGTACCTGAAGGACGATGAGTTCAATGAGTTTGCAGAATACAATTGGTGTCAGTATTTGTGGAGTTTTATGAAGCAATCGTTTCGCCAGAATAAGACTGCGAAATATACAAATGGAGATCTACCTCTGTTGATGGTGTGGTACCCAGATAGGACCGTTAACAGTCAAGAGATGACTACTAATGTTCCAGCCTGCGAGAATTTATAACTAATTTGTATCAGAAGAGCTATTTGGAATTGTGCAATAAAAAGTAAAAAAAAAAAAAAACCACTGCAGTGGTACTAAATAATAATATGAAGTGATAGAACTATTTGTTGCACTATCACTTCAATGATGAAAAATACCACTACAGTGGTACTCATTCATTTGAAAGGCCGAAGACACATGAGTATAGATTATAACTGAGACAATTCTGTTGTTCCTCCGCGACTCCAACGGGCTCCACATTTGCGGCAACGTCGATGTAAGGCGCATGCTCCACGTAGGTCTGATCGTCCAGATCATCAGGATGTTGATCAGAGTTGTAGCTGAACTGCCCAAGTTTTAAGAGATCGTCCTTGCTGGTATACTCTATGTTGCGGTCAAATCCGAGGGAACGTTTGCCGGCTGACTTGTGTACACAGTCACTTCCTCCATCCAACTCGATGATGTAATCATCCATCTTTGCAACTTATGGATCCCGTCGCCCGTGTAGTATTGAAGCAGACCTATCGTTCCCGACGACAATGGAGAGAAATAGCAGAGGAAGGAGGGGGAAATAGGGGTCGGGTACTATGCTAACCCCTAAAGGGGTCAGCTTTTTGACACCCTCCTTTTGATTGATCCGTTTTACACTTAATTATTAGGCAAGTCTTAACTATCATATTAATTATGAATGGGAAGGGGCAATTTAGCTGGATGGGAAAAATGGCGTTTCCACTCCCATTCCCCTTATTTCTATTTCCCCCCTCCCTCCTCTGCTATTTCTCTCCATTGCCGTCGGGAACGATAGGTCTGCTTCATCACTACACGGCCGGCGGGATCCATAAGTTGCAAAGATGGATCATTAAATCGTCGAGTTGGATGGAGGAGGTGACTGTGTACACAAGTCCTTCGACAAACGTTCCCTCGGATTTGACCGCAACATAGAGTATACCAGCAACGACGATCTCTTAAAACTTGGGCAGTTCAGCTACAACTCTGATCAACATCCTGATGATCTGGACGATCAGACCTACGTGGAGCATGCGCCTGACATCGACGTTGCCGCAAATGTGGAGCCCGTTGGAGTCGCGGAGGAACAACAGAATTGTCTCAGTTATAATCTATACTCATGTGTCTTCGGCCTTTCAAATGAATGAGTACCACTGTAGTGGTATTTTTCATCATTGAAGTGATAGTGCAATAAATAGCTATCACTTCATATTATTATTTAGTACCACTGCAGTGGTATTTTTTTTTTACTTTTTATTGCACAATTCCAAATAGCTCTTCTGATACAAATTAGTTATAAATTCTTGCAGGCTGGAACATTAGTAGTCATCTCTTGACTGTTAACGGTCCTATCTGGGTACCACACCATCAACAGAGGTAGATCTCCATTTGTATATTTCGCAGTCTTATTCTGGCGAAACGATTGATTCATAAAACTCCACAAATACTAGCACCAATTGTATTCTGCAAACTCATTGAACTCATCGTCCTTTAGGTACGCCAACACCGAAGATTCAACAACATTTTTGGTGCTTGGTTTGAACAGGTATCCAAAACAAAACATGACAAACAAACGTATCCACAACTTGTCGTCTTGAATGTTTGGTAACAGATTTTTCAAAGTCCACAGCTTGTTCCAATCGGGGTCTTCTCCGTCCATACCAGGGAGTTCATCATGCAACTCTTTGCACCTATCTCAATCAAATGTCGTCACCATCTTTTTACCGCGAGGAAGTCCATACACTCGATGAACATCATCAACTATAAATGGCATTGCAGTGCCATCATTCATGATTATGGACATTGTATCCGCATTGAACTTATTTACCAACCAATTCAAAAGGGTCTTGTCAAACCTCTTCATTTGCAACTCAAAGACAACACCCAAACCCAGCTTCTTCAGTATAGCTCTTCTCTCGTCTGATAGTCCATCATTCACGACTTCAATTATCGAGTTAGGGTTTCACTTCTTGCTGGATACATCATCACTACGTTTCCTCTTGCCCCTACCTTGTTCTCCCTTTTCCCTGCTCTCACGACGTCTTTTCTTGCTGGTACCCGCACTAGAGGAAGGAGCCTAATTTAACCAAACTTCCACCTGCTTGGAAATATAGGTTGCAGGCTTCTTGCCAGCAGCCTTCTGGCCCCCAATGTAGTTGTACATTAAAAACCATAATGATTTTGTAAATACCACTACAGTGATAGCCCTACACACAAATACATTATAACGAACTACCATTGTAGTGATATTTCTACCACTCCAGCATAGATCTACCACTGCATGTGAAAGATTTACCAATGCAGCGAAAGACACCATATGTTACAGCACTGATAGATCTACTACTGCAACGATAGATCTACCACTGCAACGATAGGCACACTATGTCACTGCAATGATAGATCTACGACTGCATTGATCGATCTACTACTAAAGTGATAGATATACCACTGCATGAATAAATAAACACAGTATGCCACTACAGCAATATATCTACAATTTTAGTGCAATACTATACTGAAGGAGATGAAGAAATATATGAATTGTGGTCGTTCAAGGAGAATTGCCTCACCTTAGCAAAATCTTGCCGCCGCCATTGTCGGCTTATATAAGCTCTGTCGCAGATAGACGGTCGTCGACGGGAATCGATCAAGCGCAACAGGAAAAAAAGACAAACTAGGTTCGAAGTTGAGGGTTCGGGATGGAAGACGGAGGACGTCTGACGGGAGTGATGGGTCGACCGCTGTTGTGAAGGAGTGGATGGGTTACGACGGGGGATAGTGATTAGATGAGTCGGCGACGAAGGGTTATGGCCGGGTTCTAAACAGAGAGAGAAAGAGAGAGATTAGGAAACGAAACAGTGACATAAAAAAAGGTAAGGGGGAATAAATTTTAAATTATGCGTGGGAACCAATTCTTTCCCTTTCCGATGTATGTTGGGATAATTAATTACTAAATTAATTACAAATTACCAACTGTTTATTTCTTACCATTAGATTAAGACTATTGGGGATGAACGGTAAAGAAGATGGGTGTCGAAAATCAGACCCCTTTAGGGGTAGTCACGCTAACCGGTCTCGGGGAAATAGAAACAAGGGGAATGAGAGTAGAAACACCACTTTCCCCATCCAGCTAAATTGCCCCTTTCCCCATTCATATTTATTAAAACTGCCATTTATACTTGCCTAATAATTAAGTGTAAAGCGGATCAATCAAAAGGAGGGTGTCAAAAAACAGACTCCTTTAGGGGTTAGCATAGTTTCCGACCCCAACCTACGTTGATATATGAGCATGGATAGATAGTTAGTGATAATTACTAAGAACATTCACATCAAGTCATTATATTGAATGCAATCAGGGTGGAGCTAGGTGGTTGGGGGCTTTGGAATTAGTATATTATCACTAACATTCTTCGTTGTTATGTGGCAATGAGCATGGATAGATAGGTTCGGGGTAGGAAATTCGAAATTACGTGTGAAACCTCTTCCTATTGTGGAAGTTTACATATAAATATAAAAAGGTTTTGCCTAATATAGTACGTGTGTGCATTAGTGTTGTATGAAAGCCAGGATAGTGGAACCACATTTGTGGCGTGTTTATAACTTTTGAAGTGCTTTTATATGATACTTCTGGTCATGTTGGTCTAAACCGAAGATGAAACTTCTGAATAACAGAATGGACAAAGCACTGTGCAAACTGTATAGATATAAAGGATTTTCATTCAAACGAAAGTAAATGATATAATATAATATTGAAACACACATATTATCCAAGATGAAACAAATATTCATATATGTGAATAAAAGTTTCGCACAATCAACATATAACCCAAAGTAGACATAAAGAAGAGTGTTCCAATTCAACATAAAAGAAAATCGTCTAACATTGAAAAGTGGGATAGAGATTAAACATGGGATACTATTACTGGGGTAAATCTCCAAGCAGTTTCACCAAGATTACCTTGCCAGTTGGCCGGATTGTTTTAAATGATTTTGCTATAATATCCGAATCGAATTTTATGTCATCGGATTGTGTATTTAAATGATTTTGATATAATATCGTAATCGAATTTTTTGGAATCGGATTGTGTATTTAGATGTATCTTATAGGTAATCATATTTGGGAGTGTCTATAACTTTTGAAGTGCTTTTACATAATACTTATGGTCCTGTTGGTTTAAACCGAAGATTAAAATTCTGAATAATAGGTATGGACGAAGGAGTGTGCAAACTGTATTGATATAAAGGAGTTTCTTTCGAACCAAAGAAAATTATATAATATGATATTGAAACATACATATTATTCAAGGTGAAACAAATATTCAAGTATGTGAATAAAAGTTTCGCACAGTCAACATAATCTCAAAGTATACATAAAGTAGGCTGTTCCAATTTATTATAAAAAACTGTCTGACATCAAAAAGTGGGATAGCGATTAAACATGGGATACTATTATGGGGTAAATCTCCGAACAACTTCACCAAGATTACACCACAATGATTGAGCATATGATTCCAAGGCCCAAATCTGACCATGAACTTGTATGTCTTATCCTGCATGGAATCAAGTATATTCTTCAAGTTGGTCTCCCAATGGTTATCATCCTCACTAACCAATTGTGATGCAATCCATTTAAGTCGTCTACATGGAAACATAAACCGAAGCTTCCAGTAGGGTCACTAATTGTTAAGTGGACAACATCTCTATTGGTCGCAGTTGACGACGAAAGAGTACAATCCGTAACTTGCCCGTTAAATATGTAAGCCTTCTCCTATGGAAAAAATAAAGCTATTATCAATTACAGTGGAGGAAAAGGTGGAAAATTATATAAAAACCTTTATTCAAAAATCAGTGGATAATAAATAATACAATACTATTTTTTATGTTATATTTAAGCACATCGACCTCCTGGGTTGTAGCAAATTTAGACATAAGATAGAGCATCTTTTTAGGGCAAGTTTTCAAAAACACTGTTCTCTTCACAACTCCGTAACACGTCCGGAGAAGAGATAAGAAGTGCCTTGGTGGTAAAAAAATGGATTTAAAAAATAAAATTAAGAAAAATAAGAAATGATAGAACGATATAACATATTGAGAAGGATGAATGACAATTCTTATATTAATAACCTGATTGTCACCATTCTCTTGCAACATAATAAGCTCCATGGTATCAGTAAACTAAAACATATATAGCTACGACCTGTTCATATTGCAGATTTGCAAAAAAATCATAACCGTGGTTGAAATGCCTATGTATTAAACCGTTAGCAATGGCAATGAGTAGGAAAAAGAAGTGGAATAGAATGTCCATGTTATGGACTGGTTGGAAGAACAATACTTACAGGTTCCATTGAGATACTTTGCACACGATAAATAAAATGTGCCTCCAAATCTCGTATCAATTTTTGGTATTGCAAGTGGTTGTGGATTTTATGTAAGAGCATAAGAATATATTATATTAGTTAATGTAATCGACCCAATCACATATAGGAAAATGA